TAGTTTCATCGGCTGAAGCCGCCATGTTCTTTAGACTGAACTGTCGTGCTTCTCGTTGCGTCACACCTCAACCGGCCTCAAAGCCAACGCTGATTGGACATTCGTTTGGTGAACTAATCCAAATATTATTTAACGGAGAGTCTCCAGACTGATTAGCGAGTGAAACCTTGAAAGCTCGCGAGATCAGGATGGTCTCACGAGGCTACTGAAGTACTGCTTCACAGGCCTTAAATAGTCTTCAGGTGATCTTGATTGGACAGACTCAGGAAGCAGTCTTAAAGGCGGAGCCTAAAAAAGAGCAAGGTGTTAATTGGATGCAAGAACAAAGACATTCACTTGACTGTATGGATGGTTTTTTTTATACATTTCCTCACTTTACTGTGTTTTAATATGGTTTTACATGATAGTGAGTGAATAATGAATGAAATACAGTTGTATGAAATTATAAAGGGAAGTGAAATGGGTCAGTGGTTTTCTGTTTTCTTTTCATCTAAGATGTTGAAAAAAACGGCATGTATTCAAATAGTTCTCACTTTAGTTTGGTTCCCTGAATGAAATAAGGTGCCTTTAAAAGTCACCTTGTATTTTCATTACGTAAAAGATGTAGAGACAGTGGAGTTGATGATGGCAGGACACAGAAAGGATCCCCAATAGTAGAGAGACCGCATCCAAACATGGCCGCTCTTTATGAACTGTGCCACAATATTTTATAAATATTATTGTCTACAATTACTTAAAATGTCAAAACCATATATTCTGGTATGTGCAGTTAATCACAACATACCTGTGAGGGGCCAAGTTAAAAACAGGAGCAGGCACGTGAATTAGAAAAGTAGGGTTTTTAATTTACCCAAAAAAAACTGAAGTTACAAAATACTGAGCTCATAAAAGGAGGTCAAAGAAAGAAGCTGAACTCAGGTAAAAATTTGAAGAAACAACAAACCATCTGCATAAACAAAGACACATCTGACCTCACACAGGCTCGACACACAAGAGTGTATATGCTGGCTGAGGAAACCATTAATGCACAATAGGGGTAAATAAACAATGCAAACACCAACTACACTAAACACCACAGTAAAGGTAACTTTGTTAATGTACTAAACACCAAAAAAGTAGAAGGAAAAGGTCCTAATCGTTATATGCAAATATTCATTTCAATAGAAAAGCTTATTTAATAAAAAATAAAAAAAGAGCTTATGGCCTCTCTACAGTTGCACTTATTGGCCTCTTCAACACTAATGGTGCAGTCCAATCGGGCCATTGTGCTGAAGTTTGCTCAGCCTTAGCCAGTATCTTTTAGCCATCAGCTCCTGGGCATCACAGCAGTTAAGTAACAGAAACAAGAGTTAATCATAATAAACAATGGTAAAAAAGAATCAGTAAACTAAATGTGCGTGTTTACAAAGAACAAAGGTGTTTAAACCACCCAATAAACATTTTATTGCAAACTAAAGTGCCGTTTAAAAGGAGACTTAGTGAATTTAATGGAGTGTAGCCATAGGTTTGGTCATCACAATACCTATGAAATGCTCTGTATTCAATTTAAGCTTCAACAAACAGACAACAGGTAAGCTGAAACCCCACATTGCCTGGCTGACTCAAGGCTGCGCTAACTTGGGATTTCCATTGCTACTACCCAGTTAGCTTAGCAGCCAAACTGACTCTCTGCTCCTCTGAAAACTTCAAAAGCACATCATTTGAATTCACTAAAAGTACTGATGGTGTTATGACTATGTTTGTGCTTAAAAACATCTTGAAACGTGAAAATGTAAGGATCTAAAAACTATACATTTGCAGTGCCTTGCTTTAATGCTCACAGCTCTGCTCTTTCAGCATTCCCAGGAAAAATGAAAAGGTCCTACCTGTGACCAGAAACTAAATTATGCGGGTACATTTTTCCTGAAACCCACCCTGGGCTCTATAAAAGCTCTTATGAAACCTTCCATTTTATGTACAGTGGAAAAAGGGGCTTATGCCACAGTTTTGTATGGCTGTAGATCTAAAGTTAGTTAGATTGACCCTGTACCATTCAGATCTTCCAAACTAATCTAACGGATGAGAAAAGGAACAACTTAAGGATAAAACAGCTTTAAAAACATATAAAGATATAAATACTATCAGCTTTTAATTAAAGCATTTTTTCTACTTTTACCTACAGGTGGTTATGATGGCCTAAATATCTTAAACTCAGTGGAAAGATATGACCCTCACACAGGCCACTGGACTAGCGTGACACCCATGGCCACGAAGCGATCAGGTAGGTTAGAAAATAAATTAATTAAAACATTAATGTTGCTCACAGTCTGACACAATGACTTCTCTTCAGGGGCTGGTGTGGCGCTACTGAACGACCACATTTATGTTGTGGGAGGGTTTGATGGCGTTTCACACCTCGACTCGGTGGAGGTTTACAACATCAGGACAGACTACTGGACCACTGTGGCCAGTATGACGACTCCTCGGTGTTACGTGGGCGCAACCGTCCTCAGAGGACGACTCTACGCCATCGCCGGGTAAGATTAAGTGTTTGTTCAGCGGGCTTAGTTTTCTTTTAGCTTCTCCTTATTTGTAATATTTTATTTTTTTCTTGCATTTTTGTAGCTTAATGAATTAAATGTTTTTATTTTAGAGATAAATTATTTAAATTGAATTGTAAGAGGACTTTATCTCATCCAGTAACCATTGCTCAGGCTGACAAAAAGAGTCCAACATTAATATCACTAACAGCTTCGGGGGGGCGCCAACACTAAAAGCTTAAGCTAACATCTTTACATTAGTCAGCCATAAGTGTAGCAGTAGTTCAAACACAAAGTAGACTCATTGTGTGGGATATGTTGCAGGTTTTTTACCACATAAGGTCTTTCACACCTTCTGAAGCTCGAAGTCTTTACATCTGCTTTGTCAGCAGTACATGAAGAAACATGCCGCCTCCAACCCAAAACCTCATAATAGTCATCTTCTGCTTTTTAGTCTTGTATTTTTAGACTAAAGAGCTGCGATCTTAAGAACATGTACTGTAAGACTGAATAAAGAATGTGTAAAAAGCTCAAGTTCGTTTTGAGTTCTTTCCCCTTTTCCATAATTTAAGGAATGTAAAAAGAAAACCTTATAATCCCAGCTTTTTCTTTAAAAGAGCAGATTTTCTGGACTAAATATATAACATCTTACAAGATTGACTGTCAGTCAGTTAGTTAAGCTTTATGTATGGAAAACTATACACATACAGGTCCACCTAATGAAAAATAAATAAGCGATAAAATGCATCTAGTGCTTCTTTAATTTTTTAGATATTATAACAAATCCGATCTGTTACCGTATGAAATGTAAAATCAAGAAGTATTTTGAAGAGAAAACATGAAGTACACTCAAAGTTTAAAAGCAACATTTTTAGAGCAGAAAATAAAGTCGAGGAACACGCTGGCGAATCTAAATAGCAGAATAAGACGTAAACTTCCAATAGTGTCTCCACTGTGGTTCAAACTCAGTTCTTCTGATTTCTTCTAGATACGATGGAAACTCCCTCCTCAGCAGCATCGAATGTTATGACCCGGTTATCGACTCCTGGGAGGTCGTCACCTCCATGGCAACCCAGAGGTGCGACGCAGGAGTCTGTGTTCTGCGGGAGAAGTAACCCTGCGTCCGCAACAATGAGGACGAGAACAGAACAGGCAGCTAAGACTCTATTGAAAATGTCGCTACAAAGTAGAACCACAGAGGAAGGATGCTAATTTGCCCGAATATGCAAGCTGGTTCTGTGAACTGAAGGGTTAATCACCAGTCGGACCGTTGCTATGGAGATTGAGCCTTACTGTGGTAGACTTCGCATCACTTCCAAGGAGCCCATGATGGCTTGCATGACTCTACGGTGGTGTCTGTTGTCACGTGAGATTATTTTTTCAGAACATTTTCCAAGTGCAATATATTTTTATCCATCAAGAAGAAAACGATGGAGCGGATTAAGACTTTACGTGCTGCTATATGCCTTATGACTTTCACCTGCATCAAACATGTTGCCTCCCATCTGACGGAAATTACATTGTCTTATTATGGAGTGAACTGATTCAGCATATGCATGCTCATCAGTGAACAATAATAACAGGACTTTTGAATGGAAATCGCTTTAACACAGATTTTATTTCTTTCAATCATATCATATATAAAGATGAACATTGTTTTAGAAAAAAACTGAACTGTGCTTCATGATTTGTATTTCCCTCCAATTTGAAAACATTGAGATCAAGGTTTCAAGTATCAGATGAAAGGGGTTTCTTTGTGTTTTTTTTTTTTTTTTCCCCTCAGAAAATGGATTAAGGCAAACTTGTAGGATGCAACGCCTGAATGTCACTGTTGTCTGAAAACTAAAATAAAAGCTCTCAGAAATTAGAGACTTGAGTGACAAAATGTTTCATGATTACATCACATAGTGGCTGCATCCGAACTTTCGCCCTAATCACTATATAGGGCACTACATAGGGATTCTGCCATTTTAGATGGGTGTCCGAACATCTAGTGGATGAAAAGTAGTGGACACTAAATTTCCCATAATGCTCCTTAAAAAGTAGTGAATATTTATGGTCACTAGATGTGTAGACATATCCCAGATTGCTTTGTGAGAGCTCTACTCGCAAAGCATCATGGGATGCTGTGTGGGCAGGCGGAGTTACATGACCAAGGAGGAGCGAAAAGTAGAGATCATTTGTCAAAACGGTTGGTTAACAGAGTTCACTATAAAGTCCACTGTATAGTCCCAGTGAGTCAGAAAACCCAGGTGAGAAAAGTACGGTGGCCCTGAAGTACAAATCACATAAACAAATCATTAACTACAAATAAAAAAAAAGAACGTATTCAAAAACACAACATATTCAGAAACATAATGGCATTAACTTGAAACGAGACCTCGCTGACTGGACGACAGCAGTGCTTGGCTTTTAAACAGGAAGTCATTCTGACTTTACTGTTCAAACGTTCAATTACAGAGCATAAGCAGAATGACTTCCTGTTTAAAAGCCAAACGATGCATCCAATCTGCAAAGTCTCATTTTTAAGGTTAATGAGCTTATGTTTTTAAAAATGCTGTATATGAATATGTTGTGTTTTTGAAAACGTTTCTGAATACGTGGTGAATTTGAAAATGTTTTTGCGTTTTCCAGTGTTGATGTGCTCTGTATTTCAGGGCACCGTAGAAAAGTCAGCATTTATCACCACTGAGAGCTCTGCAACCTTTCAAAGCAACTCTACACCAGTCATTTTACGGTCATTATTGTGTTGCAGTTTTATTAATTACAATAAAATCAAATTTTTTTCTGCATCTACATTTGAAGAGATTTTGTTGGTTTTCTTTTTCAAAAATTTGCTCTAAAGCCATTAAATTTGGTAGAGCTGCATTAAAACAACCTTTAGGACTCTTATCACTAATCGTAATCTACCTGCAAAATAAATAGCTTATTCATTTCAGTGTTTGAAATTGAATGCGTAATTCTACAAATACTTTTAGTTTCTCCCTTTTGAAAGTGAAAAGAATGAGCCTCATGCAAGAACTGTTTATACACGCAAACTTTTCTATAATCGTTCGTAAAGTGATTTAGGAGTCATATTCTTTTTATACTTTTTTTTTTTTTTTTTTTACTTTTGTAACAGTAAAACCAAGTCCTTTATAGCTCATTTACAGTGATTTATTTCACTGTTTGGCTTTCACTGGTGCCTTAAAGCTGCAGCTCAGATCTCTGTCAGCAGATTTTTCAATCTTTGAACCAATAAAGTTTTTCTTTGTCTTTATTATAAATATACTGAGGCATTACTGTTCAATCTTAGGTGAAATTCCTTCTTTTAAAGCTTTTGCTCAAAATTAGAGTAGAAGAATAAATGTCAGCAAGACAATTTCCCAATGTCATTAGTATAAAATGTTTTAAAAACCTAAGGCCCCAACACAGAGCCTTGTGATACTCCACATATTTTTTTTTTTTAGCTTTGATAAGTCTCCTTTAAACTTAACAGTTTTCTGTTTTTCAGATAAGTGTTCCGAAACGGATAAGTACAGGAGAGAGGACTAAAAATAGGTCTATGTTAAAGTTTCTTTTTTTACTACTTAGATAAATCGAATATCTTTTTTTCCCTGATTTTCTCTTACAATATTTTGTGACAGAAAAATTAGTAATTAATATTAAAGATTCAGACTTTGAACAAACGTTAAGAGCAGCATATATTTTTCCCTGACCTCTGCAAGTGACCATAAGTCTTGAACGTGACCAGAACTACAGTTTTGTGTGAGAACTGGAATGATGTTGAAGGAAAGTTACCGCCGTTCCCTCCCTCTATCCATCAGCTCCCTCCTCTTCATGTCTTATCAAAACTAGCAGACAAAGGCAGCCCAGCGGAGACATATAAAGAGGGGCATTTAAAGCAGCACCGAGTCGGCAGAGACGCGTCCCAGGACGTTACGCCAAATACTATTCTTTCATTCTCTGGATCATTATGGTAAGAGAATTGTTCGGAAATATAGTGTTTCTTTTTTTTCATTGCATAATTTTGTATATAGATACCCTTTTGCATTGTTTAAATGTCATATATTATTCAATCAACATCTGAAAGAATCCAGTTCACCTAAACATACTTTAAGACATTTATAAAAAGAAAAGGTTTAGTTAATTAAAAATATAGCGTCCACCTATGTTTTTGAATGTACAAGTCTCAGAAGAGATCTACTTTGCTATTTTGTCCTCTTTAGTTTTTATGTTTATCTTACAAATGTCGCTCAGCAGTGAAAAAATCATCTAATGGGATGTTCTCTCTCCAGGAGAGACAAGATCAAATTCTCAACAAGTTGAAACAGGGCTGCTTGAAATGCTTACAAACTGCAGCAGCAGAGTGCTGGAATAAACTTGTCTTTTGTTGAGCATTGTAAATAAAAAGTATGCAACGTTTTTTTTTTCTTCATATTAGTCCACTGTACTTTTCCTGAGCCGATGCAACAAAATCTGCTCCAGGTATGCATTTGATTCAAATCTGAATGACAATCAAGCTAAGGCTAATTATTGACTGGATCATTAGTGAAGAATTTTAGCTTAGATAGCTATGTATATGTATATAAATTAATAATAAATTTGTGTATATATGTATATATATGTGTATACATGTACAAGAAACATATATGTGTGTGTGTGTGTATATGTTTCTTGTATGTTTCTGTGCTGCAGTCAAGATTTTGTTTTTTTCCAGCTTTTTATTGTCATTACACTGTCACAAGTACAGAGCAACCAATTGAATGCTCTGCATTTAACCCATCCCCTTGGGGAGCAGTTGGTTGCTATTGTGCTGTGCCTCGGGAGCAGTGTGGGGTTAAATGTCAGAACCTCTGGATTCCAAGCTCTATGCTCTAACCATTAGGCCACCACTCCCTGAATATATAGGAGGAGGTTTAGTTTTTCTTATAGCCTTTAATTTTCCTTTTTTGTTTTTCTAAAATAGTCACAATGTGGAAAACAAAGTCCAGTGGATTGTTTTTTTTTTTACTTTTTTACCTTTTTTGGAATGACTATAACAATTATTTATATTGTAGACTTCAAACACAGTGAAGAATAAGGCAGCCAGCAGGAAAGAGAGGGTGATGAGGGCCAGGATACAGAGGAAGGTCAGCATGATCAGGACACTGAGGATGATGGGCACAGGGCACCTGACCATACTGAAGCCCATAAATATATAAAATCCAAAACAGTGACTTTGATGGAGACTTGCCTCCTTTTCTAGGAGAGTGTAAACTGAATGTGGAGGGAAGAGATCCTATGGATTGTTTCAGATACCTGTTCCAGCTCATCTCATTGATGACATAGTGCAAAACACCAACTTGTATGCTATCCAGAAAGGGAAAGGAAATCTGACAGGAGATGAAATTCAGATGTTTTTAGGGATTGACTTGATCATGGGGTGCTTTCGGTATTGAAGGGCAGGAATGTACTTGTCAAGTGAACATGGACTATGACTTGGAATAATTGGTAAAGCCATGTCTGTGAACAGATATGAGCAAATCCTAAGATACCTCCACTTTGTGAATAATAAAGGCCTTCCTAATTACAATTCAGAAGACATTCGAGGCAGCAGCAGATCCTGAGGAATTTCAGTCACTTCAGTCAGCTATAAATGTCCTTGGTTTTCTTATTCAGTTCTAAACATTGTGCCTATATAGTGTAAAAAAAAATTTAACAAAATATGTTGAAATATCAAAGCATAAAATGAAACAATGGTTTCTATTTTTACAGCAGAATACTAGATCATAATTTTTTTTTTTTATAAATTCATAATATTTTATATTGAGTTCTCAGGTGCGCATAGTCAACTCCAGTGGACATATCTGTCACTTCATGAAACAGCATGACAAAAAAAAAAAAATTTTAAATACATTTTTTTCTAAATTAATTTAAATAAAATAATAATTAAAAGTCCTAAGAAGAATAAAATCCCTTGAGAAAAAAATCTTGATCAAGGTTTTCATAATTCATGCATCACAGGGTTAATGACTAAAACATTGATTCCTGTGCTTTTTTTCATAAAGCCAAAAATCCCTTCTCATGGATTTTTAAGTCTTGAAAGGACGTAGTAAGAAAATCTTTCATAAAAGTGCAAGATTTAAAGTTCTTGGTACCACATTTAACTAAATGTACCTTGCAGCTTTACTCATCACGTAATTATACCTAATTAATTGTCTTGTATGAAATGCTCTTAAAACTTTGAATAAAACTCCGTAAAAATTCAAAAAATATCCACTGGATATTTTATGAATTTTTACGGAATGACTATGACCTAGATGACTCCGAATCTTCATCATCACTTTGAATAAAAGTTCCTATTTTGAAAAGATTTATATAATTTCTATTCTAACAATGGTTTATAAAAGATAAAACCATCAAATATTATATTTTCACATTAGTTCTTTTTTTTTTGTCGATGGTTTTAATAAAGCTAAACTTAAAGCTCATTCATATCTGGCTCTGAAACTATGATCTGTGGCAGATTTTTGATCGGATTAATAAAACCGCAAGTTTAAACTATGTTTAAAAGTGCTCAGATGGGTGTTAATGTTGCTAATTACTTGACTTATCAACATAAAACACCCCTGAACGACCGTCTATTATTATTTATTCACATGAACAAGTCTGACTGAGCAAGTCTGTCCTGCACAGATATTTGCTCAGTCTGTCAGCATCCTGTTGTAGTCAGCTCTCTAGCACCACCTTCAGTTTGTCAAACCAAGAGCAAACTGATGAAAACCAAACTGTTTCCTTTGTTTCTGTCTTGTAAACCTGTTACCTCAGCTTTGGTTGGAGCAGATGTAAATGAACGATTGGTGCTAAACCGGAACAACCAGGTATGAACATTTATTTTAAGACAACAGAAACTACCTGACATTAAACTTGCTTTATGGTTGGTATATATATAGACCGTATATTTTTAGCACACAGGTGTTTTTCAGCTTGTTTTTATTACTCTTACTATTAGTTTACAATATAACCCAGTAAGCATTTAAATGCCAAATTAGATTTTATTATTATTAAGGAGCCCCGGCATTTTATGAAACAGAATAAGAGGAATGATTAATTTTTTTAAGTTGGAACATATACATGATCTTTCAAATTTTTATCATACAAAA